TTCATGCACCTGGGTGTGCTTATAACTATCTGTGCAACTATTTATAACTATTGGTGCAACTACTTATAACTATAGGTGCACCTACTTTCACCTATAAGTGCATGTAATTTCTCCTTGTTAACATTCATTGATCTGAGTTCAGCGGGTAGTAATACCCCTGAAAACCACTCGCAAACATTCATACACCTAGATGCAACTACTTATAACTATTTGTGCAACTACTTAGAACTATAGGTGCAACTACTTAGAACTATAGGTGCAACTAAGTATTGATGCTCAGTGTAAATTTTTACTTGCACCTATAATACATTTTACATGCACCTGTAATACATTTTACTTGCACTTCGATGTTCAATTATTTACGAAAATGTCACTGCGTTTTTTAAAAAAATCAGTGTTTCTCATCCATTAGATCTGGACACGTGGACGAACAGAATTCATTCCTATTTCGCGCCTGGGCGAAGCATTCGCACCAGAGTGCGATTATATGTATATATATATATATATATATATATATATATATATATATATATATATATATATATATATATATATATATTATCAAAAAATTAATTATAATTATGAAAAATTTAACGACACATGTTTAATTGTAATTAACTTAATTTTCATAATAATTATTAGTCAATTATACTAATATCTATGCAATAAATTCCTTAATTACCATAATAATTATTAAGTAATTATAGTAACATTGCGAAATTATACTTTTATAACTTAAGTATTACATATATTTACATGCACTTGCAGGTGAAAGTACAGGCATTGCATGCACTTGTTGATGAAAGTAGGTGCATCCGATCAATCAATGTTAACAAGACAAAATTACATGCAAGAAAAATGTATTATAAGTGCATGTAAAATGTACTATAGGTGCAAGTAAAATTTACACTGAGCATCAATACTAAGTGCACCTGTCGATATAACTAAGTGCACGAATGTTAATAAGGTAAAGTTACTTGCACTTGTAAGTGAAAATAGGTGCACTAGTAAGTGATTTTACTTGCACTCTTTACTTGCAAAGATGCACCAGCTACTTACACTTATAACACATTTACTTGCACTAAAGTTTAAATTATTTACAAAAATGCCACCGCGTCGTTTTTTTTAAATTACATCTGATTCGTTGATCTCGACACGTGGATGGCTAACATGCATTCGCATTTCTCTCCTGGGCGCTTATTCGCACAGGAGTGTGACCCTATATATAAATAATTTTATATTGTGTGTATTTGGCTAGTATTATTTGAAAAAAAAAAATATGACCAAGTAATTGTAACTTATAAAAACATTAAGATTGACAGTAGTGACACTATTTCAACTTATTTTAGTTGTCACTAAATCACTTTTTTTTTGTAATAACATATTTCGTCACCAAATGTACATTTATTGTGACGACTATTGATATCACTCAAATGCTACTTTTAGTGTACGTCAATATTGTCACAAAAGTTTTAGTAATTGTGACAACTTTTCAAAAGTCGTCACTGCTACAATAGTGACGGAAGATATAGTAACGACAGGTGACGACTTCAAAAATTGGTCACTAATATTAATATTGACCAAAATCGATAGTTTTGGTGACTTCTGTTATCACTAAATGTGAAATTTCTTGTAGTGACTTTCACACTAATCTTATAATCAAATAAATGTACGCTTTCAAATATTAGATTTGTTTATAATTTAATCTTTAATTTTATTATCCAAATATAAAAAAAAAATTAATGCTCACCACTGCGTAACGATGAAGTTGACGTCCAAAAATTTCCTTTTTTGGCGGATGCAACTCCTTCCATTCCTTCGAGGCCAGGAGCTCACCGGTTTCGTCGATGGGAGTTACCCCTGCCCGCCGGAAATGATCGTTGCCGATCAGTCTTCCGGTACCACCTTTGCGACGCCGGCCACGATGGTTCCTAATCCCGCGTTCCACGCGTGGGTGAAGCAAGATCAAACCATCATCTCCCTCCTCATCTCAGCGATGTCGGACGAGGTGTTGCACCTCGCTCTCGGACGGCACACCTCCGCCGACATCTGGGCCTCCGTCTCGTCGGCGCTCGGATCTACCAGCGAAGCCCGTTGCATCAACCTTCTCGGGCAGTTCCAGCACCTCCGGCAAGGGAACGCCACGATCGCCAATTACATCGCACGAGTCGATGTGCTCGTCGAGTCCCTCATCCAGGCCGGCCGGCCATTATCGCTCATGGAGCAGACGTTGTATGTCATCCGTGGGCTTCGACCGGAGCTGAAGTCGCTGGCCACCAGCCTGACGGCGACCGGTGCACAGGTGACCTTGTCTGCCCTATCCGATTTCCTCCAAGCCCATGAGTTCATCCTTGTGGATGACTACCCATCGGTGGACGGGGCGGCTTCTCACACGGCGTTGTATGCGGGAACCGGCAGAGGTTCGCACGGCGGAGGCGGGCGGTAGTCCGCGAACCAGCAGCACCGTGGCGGTGGAAATGGCCGCGGCAATCGCGGCGGGAACCAACAGCATCGCGGCGGACGTGGAGGCCGTGGGGGACCGCGCTGCCAGATTTGCCGGTCACACGGCCACTCCGCTGTATATTGCTTCATGCGCTACAGTACGCAACCGCCGGCTCAGGCGCATGTAGCAATCTCTGGTGAAGCCCCGCAGGTTCCGCAACCCCATCCGGCGGACAATTGGTATCCCGACACCGGTGCGACGGCCCACGCTACTTCGGATGCTGCTATGATGGGGCAATCGGATGAGTATACAGGTTCAGATGTTTTGTGGGTGGGCAATGGCGCAGGTTTGGAAATTACACGAATCGGTCAAGCATCAATCCCATCCGAGTCAAAATGTTTAAATTTAAACAATATATTACATGTTCCTAATCTTTCTGTCCCGCTGTTATCTATCCATAAATTTACTTCAGATAACAATGTTTTTTTCGAATTTCACAATAATTTTTTTGTTGTGAAGGACTCCACAACCCGGGCGGTTCTGCTTAGAGGTTCCACATCGGGCGGATTATACAAGCTCCCGGTGTCTCGGTCCAGTTTCGCGTTTGTCAGTTCCCGGGCCACTCCCAACATATGGCATCAAAGGCTTGGTCATCCGCATAAGCAAGATTTAAATAAAGCCTTACAAAGCTGTCCGGTGTCGTCCAATAAAAATGTATCAATCGAGTCATGCGTTGCTTGTCAGCTTGGAATGTCATCCCGCTTTAAATTAGACAGTGTACCACGGGCTAGTCAAAATGTATTAGATTTAGTCTATACTGATATTTGGGGTCCTTCACCCGTAGTATCAGTTTGTGGTTATCGTTACTTCTGTTTATTTGTAGATGACTATTCCGGTTTTTGCTGGTTTTATCCGCTTCAGGTAAAATCTGATTTATATAAAGTGTTCGATGTGTTTCGTGTTCTGGTAGAGCGACAATTTTCGCGCTCTATCAAATCCATACAGTTCGATCTAGGGGGTGAGTACCGTAAGTTACACAATACACTCCAAAGTCTGGGTATTAATCATCGTCAATCATGCGCTTATACGCATGAACAAAATGGTAGAGTAGAGCGGCGTAATAGACACGTTGTCGAAACGGGCCTAGCTCTACTCGCAGGTGGCAAAGTACCCCATGAATACTGGGACTATGCTTTTGAAACCGCCACCTGCCTAATTAACTACTTACCCTCCTCAGCACTAAAATATGAAAGCCCATACACAAAATTGTTCAAAGTCAATCCCCCATACACTTTTCTTCGAGTATTCGGGTGTCGCTGTTACCCACATCTGCGCCCTTATAATCGGCATAAGATTGAGTACAGGACTACCCCATGTGTCTTCCTAGGTTACCCGGTTTCGTTTAGGGGATATCGATGTGTAGACTTGACTAGTGGAAAAGTCTATATCTGCCGTCATGTTCGCTTTGACGAAACTATCTTTCCCTTTGATACAGGGTGCTCTCAACAGGTGCCTACACCACCGGCACTACCGTGGGCTATTGTTCCAGTGGCTCAACCCCCCGCTACCTCAGAAGCAGTCACACCTATCGCTACTGATTCCCGTAGCAATGAACCAGTACCCCTTGCTTGTGAGCCCCCACAGCTGGCTATCATACACGCCGCTCCAGCCAGGACACGAAGGACCCGAACTCAGCCTCAGAGTCGGGATCATGTCATGAGACTGCGTCACATGACAAAAGGCACAGATGAGCCATTTCATGCGTTGACTGCTGTTGCTGACCCAACTTGCTATTCTCAGGCTGTCGGTCATGCACATTGGCATGAAGCTATGGACTAGGAGTTCAATGCTCTCCTACATAATAACACCTGGCGTTTGGTCCCTCCACAACCTCACATGAACATCATTGGCTGCAAGTGGGTGTTTCGGACTAAACGTACAGCCACCGGGTCCATTGAGCGCTATAAGGCTCGTCTGGTGGCCAAGGGGTTCAACCAGGTAGCGGGTGAGGACTTCTTTGACACATACAGTCCTGTGGTCAAACCCACCACGGTACGGTTGCTATTTTCTTTGGCTGTATCTCATCAGTGGACTCTACGCCAGCTAGATGTCCATAATGCTTTTTTGAACGGACATTTAGAGGAAACTGTGTATATGAAGCAGCCTCCGGGGTATGAGGACCCAACTGTGCCTGGTCACGTATGTCATCTACAGCGGTCCTTGTGTGGCTTGAAACAGGCCCCGAGGGCATGGTTCAAACGTTTGCACGACCTCCTATTATCTGCAGGTTTTGTGTCTTCCAAGACCGATGTTTCGCTGTTTTACTACTCAGCAGGTGTGTCTCGGATTTTTCTCTTGGTCTACATAGACGATATCATAATGATGGGCAACGATTCCAAATTAATAGACACACTGTTGCGTCAGCTTTCTACGGCTTTTAAAATTCGGGATCTCGGCACACCGAGTTTTTTCTTGGGTATTGAGATGATTTCGGCAGGGGGGCAATGTAATACTTTCACAACGTCGTTACATGTCAGATCTCCTAGGGCGGTCCGGTATGGTTGATTGCAAGCCGCTTTCAACGCCTGCCTCTGTCACGAAGTTAGTAACGCCGACTGATGAGCTATTTGATAATCTGACTCAGTATCGCCGTATCGTTGGGGCATTACAATATTTGACCATCACAAGACCGGATCTAGCTTTTTCAGTCAACCGCCTCTGTCAACATATGCATTCTCCCACAACAGAACATTGGGGTTTAGTGAAGCGAGTTCTCCGCTATATTAAGGGGACTCTGGACTATGGGTTGCAGCTTACTCCGTCCTCCACCTCTGGCATTCATGCTTTCTCGGACTCTGACTGGGCCGGTTGTCCTATAGATCGGAAGAGTACAAGTGGGTTCGCAGTGTTTTTAGGTACTAACCTGATCTCTTGGCTCTCGAAGAAGCAACGCACTGTTGCACGGTCTTCTACTGAAGCAGAATACAAAGCTCTGGCTGACGTCTCCGCCGAGGTCACTCGGGTAGTCTCTTTGTTACGCGAGCTTGGGTTATACTCTGGGGGTCCAGCAACATTGTGGTGTGATAATCTTGGGGCCACCTATCTCTGTGCTAATCCCGTTTTTCACGCCAGAACCAAGCATGTGGAAATTGACTACCATTTTGTGCGTGACAAGGTTGCTTCTGGGGAGTTTGTTGTGAATTATGTTTCGACCACTGATCAACTAGCCGACATCTTCACCAAACCGTTGTCTACACCGAGGTTTACAGCATTACGCGACAAGCTCAATGTTGTGTCTACCACACCTTGTGCTTGAGGGGGTGTGTTAGTATTATTCATATTATTATTATTGTTATAGTTTTATTATATAGTTATATAATATGTGGTGTACAGTGTATCTAGACTATTAGTCAGGAGTTGTTAGAAGATAGTTATTAAGATAACTTGTAATCCGATTGTTTTGTTAATGATCAATTATTCTCTCTAATCATATGTACATTTAGAATATATGAGTTTTTGGTTTATTAATATAATTATCCAAGCGCTAGCTAGCCATCCATGCACCTCCATCATAAGCCCAAAGCCCTCTTCCTTCCTTCCCCAAGCCTTATGAACATACATTCCCTCAAGCCTTGTGGGCGTATCTTCTTTCCTTCTCTCTAGCCCAATTCCACCGATTCACCTTTTTTATTTTTATTGTTTTTATTCATTGAACCTTCAAGAATACCTAACTCGATAGCCCCACGACCCCATCAAATTCATTTACAAAAATGACTTTAATTTTTTATAGTTGTGTACATTCACCCAATGGTCTTTATTATAGGCATATATTTAACATATATACTATAATGATTATGAAGTAATTCTTTCAATGTTCTTTCGGGGACATATTTTAAAAATTGTTGGTTTTAACTTTAAATCTTGATCCTTCTAAAATGATTAAAAAATGGAGTATAACCTGGTGGTATTACCATGAAAAAAAAAACGTTATAATATGATGCCTACTAAGCCATACACATTAACCATATGATAAACAAATTAAAATCACTTCTTAATCATAATATTTTGTTCTCCTCAAATATAGCTTAATTTCGTATTATAATATACACATCTTGTAAGACTTTCCCGTATAATATATATTATACATTATGAGTCTTACTTATGTGGTGCAAGTGGACTAGGCCCATTAAGTAATTGGTTGGACTGGACATTTAGGTTTAAGTCCTATTCCACCAATGTGCCTGTATAAAGCTTGTATTGATGGGATACAAGATATATGATTCATTATGGTAAGATTCATTATGGTACTCATACTGCTCAGAAAATACCAATACATCATCTAGGGTTCTGAGCCAAGTATGAGACAAAACGACTAACCCTATTCTGCAGATCTACTGTTCAAGAGGCAATACAAACAGGATATCAACCATGGCTAGAGATCTATAGTGCTTCCGCTTCCGCTACTACGAGTTAAGTTTCTCGTAGATTATTCTCTGTATAGTTAGATCTTGTTTAGATCTCACATTTGGTATCAAGAGTCTTTATCAATCTCTGCCCGGTTGATTGTTTTGCTTTCATCAACATTAATTTTTTGTTTATATACATTGAGTTTGTATATATTTGACTGCTGGAAATTATTTTTTAGCATTAAGCACAGTTTTAATTTTTTTATTTTTGGAACCACCGCCATCGGAATTTGGCCGGAGGAACGGCGACGACTGGTTCATGGGCGACGAAGGGTGATGTTGAGAGGTTCTCCGCTGTAAGCCTTGTTGTGGGGAGGACATAGCCATGGACGCAACTCTCCAGGCGCCCTGACTCTCTGGTTTTGGGTGGTGGTGTCCGCGAATTAGAGTTGCGGCGATAGGCGGCTTCAGCGGACCTAGCGCTGTGACGAGGTGAGATGGCGGAGACGGCACTGGGTTTGGATTCCGTGTTGGTGGCTTCGCTGTCTCTCTCCTCTCTCAGGCGATGCTGGTTGTTGCTCCCCCATCTTTGCGCTATTATTAAGGTCGACGACGAGCTGAGCGTGTTTAGCATGGTGGGCGTCGGTGATGCCTACGGAAATAGCTGGATGAGTAGTACATACGCCGTATGCATTCCATATTCCTATTAATTTGCAATTTATTTTTGTTATTATTATTTACCATATTTTAGTTGCCTTATTAATGGTTATACATATTAATTTTGGTCAATGGTGATTCTTTAGTCTAAAATTACCATATTAATATTACCTTAGTTAATATTATAATTAAATTATTTTTGGCAAATGGTAAATATATAGTAATTGCTTAATTTGGAATATTAATGTCCTTTAGTTTCTTTTTAATTTTGGCATTAAATTCATAATTAAATTGTTATTCAACTTAGGCAAATATTAAGTTTTAAATTTTGCTATTTGAATTTTAATTTAATATTTAAATGTATATTAAATTGCCTGAAGTATTGCAATTTGTTTAGGGTATATATATGAGTTAATATATATTAAAATGCAAAATCCAAGCATGCTAAGTATTTTTATAATTTTATGGCCCGTTTGGTTCACGGAATCAATTTGGAAGGAATAGGAATGCTATTCCATAAGGAATGGAATAGGTAAGGAATAGAATAGAGATTGTATTCTGTTGTTTGGTTCGCGGAAGGAATAGAAATAGAATATATGTTTAAAAGACGTAAATGTCCTTATAAATAATAATAATAATAATAATAATAATAATAATAATAATAATAATAATAATAATAATAATAATAATAATAATAATAACCCAAACCCACGACCCATTTGCAAGAAAATAATCCCTACCCATTTCCCTCTCCCCTAAATCAGACGCAGCAGACAGAGTGACCGGCATTGTCAGATTGGTGATCGGCCTCCGGTTGCGACATCCGATGGACTATGGCGTTCTTCGTCCTTGGAGTCTTTGCCGGCGACGGAATCTGTGCAAGGGCAATCGAAGGGGTCGCGGTTGAGGGATGAACAGTTCCCCCCAATCAGATTGAGGATCGCCTGTGGCACCCCGAAAATCCACATTCAATCCATGGATTAATTGAGTAATTAATCCTATTTTTATTTGAGGAATTAATTCCTAAAATCCTGATTTTAATACTCAAGGACTAGAATTTGACTAGTCAACCTTTAAGTTGTGTTATACCTTGTGCTTTGAGGGGAGTTCCCTTGTTCCTTACACTTTCTAAGGGTTAGTAAGGGCATTCTTGTCTTTTCACCAAGAGTTAGTATCGTAACCTAACCTAGAAGACTTCTTCATTTCATTCCCTGCAATTCTTAGAAAATAGTTCTACCTTCTCTCTAGAAAAGAAGTGTAGCATATTCTCCAAGCCAAGTTGAGACCCTTGTCAAGATTCCAAGATTCAACCTTACACCTATTTGGGCATCTAGGAGGGTAAGATCTAAGTTCATCTTGTGTTTTTGGTTCCATCTTAGTTGTCTTTTTCTTAAAGGTAGGATCTTTATGATCTTTTGGTTTAATCTTGAAGTGGGTTTGGAAAGTAAGCCTTGTGGAGAGCTTGTTGTGGTGTAAAGTGAAGTCTTTTGGTCTTCAAGAGGTAACCCATGCTCTACAAAACCTATTTTGCTTACCTATATTTGATTTCTTGGATTCTACATGTGTTTTGCAATGAAATGTGAGGGTTTATGCATTTGTCTTGTGATATTGCATATCTAGAGCTTGTGTTTAGGGTTCCTTTGTGCCATTGCTTGGCATTTTCCATGATTCAAGTCATTTTGTTGTGTTTGGTGAGATTTGGCATGTTTTGGACTTGAATTTGTGTTTGGAGAAGAAAATCCCCGAAGGGATTATTTTGCCCAGGAGTATGTACCCGCGGGCGGAACGGCGGGGAGAGCCCTACCCGCCGCCCACCCGCAGGTACATAGACTTGTGGGTAGTGTACCCGCGGGCGGAACGGCGGGGAGAGCCCTACCCGCCGCCCACCCGCAGGTACATAGACTTGTGGGTAGTGTACCCGCGGGCAGAACCACAGGTAGGGGCTTACCCGTGGGCCCACCCGCGGGGAACACGATGGTGGTTGTTCGGGATTTGTTCCCCGTGATTTGTTGGACTCGGTATTTGGTCTTTTGGCTTCCCGTTGTTCTTTTGTGGAACTATTTGAGTGTCTTCTTGATGTTTCGTACGTCTAGAACTATATGGTAGGTACCCATGTAGGACTTTGGTGTCTTGAATCGTGCTAAGTGTTCAACATTGTATTTCGTTGGACCAAGAGGTTGCTTGTGTGTTCCTCGGAACTATCTTGAGTTTCCCCGCTGATAAGCATGCTAGTTTGTTATCTTAATGCTAGCGTGTGTGTGGTTTGTACCTCCCGTTTGGTTGATGATAACTTGTGTTATTCATCGTTGTTGTCGTTGGGCTGTGACCCGTTCCTTGATTGAGTATGTTTCATACCTTCGTTGTAATCCGTTGTTTGACTCTCGTGTGAGTGGTGGTGCGTGTGTGGCTCTACCTGGATTGCACGATTAGTGGTATGGGACACTAGTCACCAAGGTATTGCAGCGGTCCTCATGGTGGCTGTGACGTGATTATGGAGTTGTGGCCTGAGTGATGGGTCCACCTTTTTGGGGGATAACATGTGTAATCCGGGCATGTGTTGCCATGATTGGTGGTGTTCGTTGGTGGTTGTTGGTGGGGGACGACGGTTCCGAGGGAATAAGGTTGGACTAAGAAGTACAGGGGTCCTGGAGGTAATGGTTGGAAAAGAAGGTACAAGGTTGGGGGTAACCATAAGGTTGGAACAGGGCATAAGGAAGGCATACCAACTCGTGATGGGTGATGTTGCGAGTTGTAAAGCCGGCGTTGTGTGATCTTCTCTCGTGACGTGTGTAGTCACGGAGGCTTGTGTTGTTATGGCATGTGTTGTCGTTGGGTGAGTCTTTATCCTTGTGTGTGGTTAACCTTTGTGGTTTGGGATGTGTTCCCGTGTTATCCTTGAGAGTGATGAGTCTTGTGTTGACAATTGATCTTGGTTTTGACTTATATATATGTATTCCGTTTCGAAAATGGTTTTTATGACTTATATCTATCTATTTATTATACTTAACGGTATTGGTGGGTTACCAGCATTATTCGCTGACCGGGCGTCGTCCCATGTTTACCTTTGTATCTTTCAGGTGATGTTTAGACGAGCGCAATGTCTAGAGCCTGGTAGCTTAGCACCTTTATCTTTGCTTTTTTGGCCTGTGCGCCAATGTAGTTAGACTGATGTTTTGGGATTGATGTACACACTTGCAGATTGTTTGCCGTAGCGTTTACCGTGTTTGGTAGACGTGGCGTGACACCCCGTTGG